GATACCATATTTTCCTAATCTAGACCAGTGGTCTCCAAAGTGGGGTGTGCAAGACAATCCATTGGGGTGTGGGAAGAAAATATTAGAACTTCTATTTATATTTATATAAATATACATATATTGGGGGTGCATGCTCAAAAATTTTTTACTGATGGGGTGCACAATCAGAAAAGTTTGGAGACCACTGCTCTAGAACACAAGCAGTTATTGGGTGAAAGGCTCTGCCTAACAGGCCTGAAACCATGTACAGTAGAGCTGTGAGGGGTGAAGGCAGCACTTCCTTTCTATCATCTTTTAGATGAAAATTGGTGAAGTGGACCAGGCAGCTTTTTATAAAATGGCACTGACAAACTGACAAACATCCTTGTTTCAGTTACTCCAAATCAGAAGAGTTTCACTGATTGACCCTACTGAGCCAAAAGAGTTCTAGCAAGCTCATTTATGTCCTGGTGTTTGTAGCTATTTATCCATTTCTGCATTCTCACTGACTGTACGTCTCAACAGATGTAACTCCTCTGGCTTCCAGGAGTTGCTCCTGATTTACTAGAATTCTAACAATAGTCAGGCCATGGTCCTGCACCAGCCATCAGAAGAGGGCTCATGGTGGGTGATCTCTCAAAGGGAGTCACAGCCTTCACACCCCTGGCAACACTGAAAGTGTGGTGGCGTGCCTGCGCCCTTCTTCCTTATTCCCAGGTGGGGCTTGCAGTCCAACAGCCAGAAGAAAACTCAAAGATCAAAGAAGATGCTGTCATTCCTGCCACCACTGCCTAGAGCCATACCTACTGTATTCTGCAGTGGGTGCCATGACTTTTAAGAACAATGGTGTATGCACTGTTTGCTCATGATGATCCTGGAACTAAGAATGATCGTTTCCTGTTTCATCTGGCAGAGCAGGCACTGCCTTAATGCCCTTTCTAAGAGACAAGACTGAAAGCAGTTGTTATATCGGTGCCTATTTTTATATGCCTGGTCTCTGCTTCATCAGACCGAGTCTCAGTGCATCAAGTGGCTCAGCAGCCAGCCTTTCTGTACGTGGATATTACTTGTAACCTGACCTGCAGACAAGGGTTTATGCTACAACTGGCAGACGACTCTTACCTACAGCAGTGCTATGGAGTGTTGCTAAAATGAGAACTTGAGAAGGTGTTACATGCCTACGAGTCGTTGTGGAGATTACACATGTAATCTAGACTCAAAATATTCTCCCACTGTTTCATTTGGGCTATTGCTTGTTAGCTCCTGTAGAATGTCAATGAAACCACATGCACAACAGTCTAGTTCTTCTTTCTTTCACTATGCATTTTTTGCATATGCAGGTGCATGTACATTTTGCTTCAAGCTTGAGGCTTAGACTTCAGAGCCAGACTTGAAGGCATGAGGAACCCACCTCCTCTCTAAATTCTCTCTTCCACATCAGTCAGAGCTTAGTTCATTTTCCTTCTCTCCCCACACCTGGCAGCCTCAGGTCCATAGGCAGGGAGAATAAAATATACCAAGGTGTGGATGAGTTGGCGTTTATTCCTGGCAACAATACGTCATTGATTCCCCATTTCTCTATATCATCAGACTAGCTGGGATAATGCAGTGGGTACTAAATACCTCTCAGCACACACACAGCAAAATCCTAACCATGCTCCTTTGAGCAGCCTGCCCACAATAGCCACTTCAGAACAATAACCAGCAGCCAAGTCTTTACCAACTGGAAGGGGAGAGAGAAACTTATTTTCATGTTACACATATTCATTACTTCAGACTCTGACCCCATTGGGGTGGGCACCATGTGACAGTGTAAACAGAAAGTACTGGAGACTGAAATCCTCCCTTAATTCTCAAAAGTGGCAAAGGAAAGGCAGCAGGTAGGCAAGTTCTCTCCACATCACCCCCTGACACAACCTCAGCCTTTTGTAGGGGTAAGATGAATGTTTCTTATCCCTGTCCCTTTGATGCCCAGCATCCCAATCACTATCAGCAAAGGGGCCTGTGGTGGTGGTGGCAGTGGTTTCCCTGCCATGGACAGCTTTCCCTCGACTGGGCTGACATGCTGGCACATCCCACCGCACAGACATTAGACAGGACATTCCTTTCAATCATGCCTGCCCTGACATGTTCTTCCTTTTTCTCCTCATCAGGCCCTCAGTACTGGATTTATGATGGTGAGAGACGTGTCTCTGGCCCTGCACCTATCATGGAGCTAGGCCTTTCTACTTCTCCCGTCCAGGCAGCCTTGATGTGGGGGACTGAAAAGAATAAGATTTACTTCTTCAAGGGAGGCAATTATTGGCGCTTCAACCCTAGCGCCCGCCAGGTGGACAATGTCTACCCACGCACAATGGCTGACTGGCGTGGCATCCCTCAGGAGATTGATGCTGCTTTCCAGGATGAGTCTGGTGAGTACAGAAAGGTGGAGACACATATCCCTGCATGTGTGTTCTCATCTAGTCCTGCCTCTTCAGTGGGAAGGGAATCAGCAGGATTTGGAGTGTAAGGATCATGTGTAAATTAGCATTCATAAAAGAAACATGAATGCACACATATTAACACTATGTCTACTGAGCGTGCAATCAGTGTCCAATGTGTATGTGACTGATGCATTTGTAATAAGCTTTGCAGAAGACCAAGTAATTAAGCATCTGTGGCCTCCTGGATATTAGCATCCTTTGGGAGAAAATGCAAGGAGAACCATGTAGACAGTTTTTTTTGGTTAGAGAGACTCCACATCAATACTGCCCTCCATTCTCTTAGTCACGTGAGTTTATGTGACTTAGTTTATATAAGCTGTCTATGCGCTGATCAATGCTTGTATTAATCCGTACTCTTAACAAGGTTACAGACTAACACAAGGAAAACTTTACAAGAGATGCATTAACCCTAACATCTTTTCCTTCCAAGGGAGTCCTTCATAATCAGCATTATGCCTGAACTCGCAGTAGTGGCTTGAATCTCAAGGGAAGGGCATCTCTCAGTGGTAATAGATTCCCATCACCAGCATCCTACACCTACTTGCATATCGAGTAAAGGTCTAATTCTGAGCCCTTATCTCCCACTCAGGCTGTATTTCTCTCCTCACCTCCCTCCCATATTTGTACCACACTTAAAAAAGGCAGCCTGATTTGCTACCCTAGTGAAGCAAAACAATGGGAAGAACATTTCTGGGTGACACAACTGACACGTACAGCTTTCTGCTCACCCTCCTTTGCTGTTTAGTGTCCTGGCCTTTGGTGTGGCTCTTCATCCTCTGAAAAAAATGAAAGGTCTCATCAGTAGTATATATTCTGTCTCCTTTGACACGTCAACACTCTATCTCCACAGGTTTTGCCTATTTCCTGAGAGGCCGACATTACTGGAAGTTCGACCCAGTTCAGGTGAAAGTGCTAGAGGGTTACCCACGCCAGATCAGCCAGGACTTCTTCAGCTGTACGCCTTCCTCCAACTCCTTCCGATGAAGAAAGGGGTGCTAATGGCCCCCAGATTCTTCTCCTGCCTTCACATATCACCACCAGTCACCTCAAGAGATGTCCCACACTCTGACAAAGAAACCCCACTCCTGTCATGCTCATCACTTAACACCATAGGTGGCACAAGTGGCTTGAGGCAGCTGTTGGCCTAAGGTGGAAACCTTAGATTCCAGGAGTTTGTACTCACAGCTTGGTATAGACATTAAAGATGACTGCAGCCTTGATGACTACCAGCTGCCTGCATTAAGGGTTGAGTGGCTGCTCCAATATTTTTTTGGCACTGACATCCTAAAGACAAGAAGCCAACTTGGAATGGGGTCTGCTTCCATAATTATCTGGACACCATCCACTTAGAAAAGGGATTCCACTGGTATTTCTTTTGTTTACATTGTGTACAGCGGGGCTTCACTTACTGATGTTGGCATCGGTGAGAACAGATTCCATCGATAATCCTTTCCTTAGCCTTGGCTGGGAGTTTTAACAGTCAGTTGACTATGTGTTGAGAAATTCAGATATGTGCCCATGTTGCCAGGGTTACTTCAACAAGAGGGGGTGGGCTCCTGAATTTCAGCATCTTGTTCCACGTCTAATGATACTTCTGTTTTTGTATTGCGTTTTAAGTATGTATTTTCATTTTATATGGATTTGTGAAAATACTACGTACTTTTTTAAGGAAAAAAAAAAGATGTTAGGTTTCAGTGCTGGACACTGCCTTGTATCTCCATGTATTGTTACTAACTCTGGGGTCTCAGTAGGACACTAGATCACCACATGACCTGCAGAGGGTCTGAAACTTCATCACCAGTTTCAGAACTGCACTTGGCCAATGTCCAGGTCTCGGTTCAGCTCTTTGTTCTCTCCATATCACTGCAAATCACTGTGCAAATGACAACGGTTTTGTTCTTTTTTGTTCCTCCCTCTTTCTGCCTCTCTCATCCATGCCATTCCTAGCCCTCCCCCCATCTCTCCAGTTCATTCCCGTTGCATCTGCTTCCCAATCTCATTGTTTCTGATGCTTGGTACAGATCTAAAAAAGAAATCAACAAAACAAACTTTTCCTGGTTACAGTCCCAGGTAGCATGACAACGTCCCATTACTGCTCTTCCCAACCGTCCTGGGAAGGGTAGTCCAGAAGGGGTTAAGACCTACTCAGTTATCCTTTCCATGTGTCAGCTTTCCTTCACAGCTAGTCAGCAGAGACAAGTGGGATTTAAACCTATCCACAGCAAATAATGGATGTGGCTACATGGCCTGTACCACCCCTAGCCTGCATGGTCTGCCTAAGCACTAAAAATTTACCTCATTCATTTTTCAGGTCAAGGTTTTTGACTTCTCAGTACCCATGTCTACAGCCGTTCTTATTCTATATGTAAATGTTTGTAAAATGTGTATAAACCCTTTTTATATATACTGTGTATATATTTATATGCTGTGCTGTATCAATGAATGTGATCTCTTTTCTATGCTCTGCCTGGTCTGAGTCGCTTAACATCAACAACAGCTTTAAAACTGGTCCCAACTCGAGACCTTAGGCAGTGACGGAGCTGGAAACGCAAGTGGTATTTTTGTAACCAGGTCTCAACATGCTCAGCTGACCCAGTTTCATCGAATGCAGAGTTGTGGCTACCAATTATCCTCACCTAATATGTATCATTGCAGTAGTGTTTAGAGGCCTTTGATCAGGATGTAGGCAGGAAACTATGCCCTTGTGCTGAAGAAAAAAGTGAAGGAAAACTATAGCAAACACTGAGGACAGGCAAAGCCTGAGGAAACCCTGCAGAGAGCTGCTAGTAATTGCTCATTGCCAGCAGATCCAGGGAGATAATTATTCCCCTATATTCAGCACTGAGGAAGCCACATCTGGAGGACTGTGTCCAGTTTTGCTCCCCCCCCCACACCCAAAAGGATGTGGACAGATTGGAGAGAGCCCAGCAGAGGGCAAAGAAAATGGCTCAGGGGCTGGGGCACACGACATACGAGGAGGGGCCGAGGGAACGGGGCTCATTTAGTCACAGAAGAGAAGACTGAGGGGGATTTGAGGGCAGCCTTCAACCACCTGCAGGGGGGCTGCGAGGAGGACAGAGCCAGACTGTCCCCAGCGGTGGCAGGTGACAGGAGAAGGAGCAATGGTCTCTAGTCGCAGCAAGTTGAGGTTGAATATTAGGAAAAACTTCTCCCGAGGAGGGTGGCGAAGCCCTGGGACAGGCTACCAGGAGACGGGGGGGGGGGGGGGGGGGG